AACTCTTCCTGGCTTTGCACACGCACACAGCCGAACTCTACTCCCAGCAATTCCCAGCATCTCTGCACGTGCTGTAACAATGATGGAGTTGAACGCAATCTTCAGCTGATTCTTGGCACGAGCTTTTCTTTTTGAACCACAGCAAAGGTGCCGTTTGCGGTATCCACTCTTCGCCATACCAAGCGTCCATTCTTCCCCAGTGTGTCTGGTCCACCCGAGAAGGGTCCCAGTCCCAAGCTCGCAAGCGAACTTTGAGATAGGCACCGGGCGACCAACAAAAAGGAGCTGGGAAGATCATTACAAAAACAAATATTAAAAGATATTCAGTGAAAATCAGTGAAACATGTCTACAAGAACCTCATGAATGTCGATCTTGATGATCCAAACGAACCTAGCTCAAACGAATCCAGCTCCTCTCACCTTCACCTGTCAAAGTGGCGAGGAGTAAACAATCTATCCCAACACTCGTCCTTGGACTCGATGTGCTGTTCATCTGCCAACCATTTTGAAAGAAAGATGTTGTAACATGTTGTAACACATCGCGGGACCCGGTCCAGCGCTGGACCCGAGAACAAACCATCACAGCTTCCAGGTCTTGGAGGCCCTTGCTGTCGACAGATCCGACTTGGCTCTGACCTCACATGACCTCTCCTCTTGAGGGTGTGCCCATTCGCTAGCCTTCCAGGAACAACCATTCAGAGAGTTCGGTTGAGCAGTGTCAAATCCTGAGTAAAAGAAGGGTTGTTCAGTGCAGGAAGGAAGCCTAGGGGGGATTAGAATAGGGAGATCTCCGGCCAGGAAAGCTTCTACTTCTCTTCCCGTGGGCCCTGATCCTGCGCGTTTGGAGCGGGAGGTCTTCCCATGTCTTCCCTATGGCCTCAGTGGCTTTTCAAAGCAACACCGAGTCCGACTGAGTCCTCCGGCCTGGAAGTTCAGCCAATGATTGGCGAAATGGACCAAGCGTGCCTGACTCTCGCCCCGAAACACGACCGTGCAGGCACGCGGTGTCAACCACGATCTGCGCGCCCCCCCAACAGCGATCTATAGTGGCACTCTGAGGGACATAGTCGACACTCACTTGGACGTGCAAAGTAGATGGCAAACGTGCAGAGTGGATGAGGGAGGTGCCTTCTTCGCCACAAGGCACAGAAGAGGCACAACGACTGCGCAAATCAACTACGCACATCAACTGCGGCGGGCTTCGCATGGCCTTCACAAACCCGCTGTTGTAAGTTCCTTCCCATCAACTGCGTGCCCAGGGGAGTGAAAGTGGTGTCACCTGGAAGATGGAACAAACTCCTAATGCTGGGCATCTGTTTGCAACCCTAGGCCCTAACTAGTGGGCAAGAACATTTGAAGGACGGCACAGACTCTGAAACCAATGAGACCTCACAAGAGCTACCAAGTGTTGCACATGTGAAACCTCAGGGTGTTTCAGCCGTGTGGACTTGAGTGGATTCTCTACCAGCTTAGCCGGGGCTAGGCAGCGATCGACATGCGGCCCCAAAACCCGATGACCTCCAGCCGCCTCGGACCTACTCCTCCTCTTCCCGTCGCCCCGAGCGTCGTTCGCGTCACGACTGGACGAACCTCGGGCGGGTCCCGCACCTTCTGCACCTCTCGCTGCCCGGCGGCGTCCTCGCAGCGGTCCTGGCGGTGCGAGGAAGGTGCGTGCAGCTCGGTGTGACGAAGAGATCTGACGCTCAGCTGCTGTGAGTGTGGACCTTCGAACTCCACAGACTACAAGCCCAGTGCTGCTTGATTGCTTGTAAAGTTCTTTCCAGGTGAGATTCGAGTCCCTTGGGTCCCTTGGGGTGGAACACGAACACTACGCCCATTTGTGGGTGCAGGATGAAGCATCGGTGTGAACAGCGCTGATAGACCACGTGGCCCAGGCCCAAATCCTGTATGGCCAACTTGGTGGTTTGGGGGAATTGAACCTTGACAGGTATCTACAGTGATGGGAGATTGGGTCCCCCAAACCTTGGACAAGCATCCGAACACCACATTGCCGCCATCCTACCATCGAGACAAACTCCAACATTCTCAAAAGCGCATGAAACAACGATAAAACACTACTGTACTTCCCCGAATAGCCAAAACAAAACAAAGGGCACATAACTTAACTCAACCCTGTTAAAATAAGAAAAACAAGTCTAGCAGACATGGGTGCTTATCTCAAGTACATGCCCACGTTGGACATGCATAGCTTTACAATCAAACAAATCTTGTATGGCCTTGTCAAAGTGAGCTCGCAAACCCTTATACCGTATACCATTGGAGCTACGGCTGCTTATACTTATACACTCATCTCCTCCCAAAAGAATCCAAACATTTCATATCACAAACGCTAAACACAAACAACCACCTGAGTCTACACACACACACAGATCTACTGCTCTGTGCGCCGTTTGGAAGTCTCGTGCGGATTATCCTGATCTGTACGCGCCAGCTTGCGGGCGGGTGCGCGCTCCTTGGCTCGGTACGAAACCATCAAGTTGAACTCGGTGGACATGAACGTGGCACGTGACCGCGGCAGATCCTGGACCGCGGTTTCCGGCGGTGGCGCCACGGTTTGGCACGGAGGTCAGAAGGCGCACGGAGGTCAAAGGGTTGGTCGTTCATATGGGCTATAAAAGGCTTAGAAGGGTGGAACGCGTGAGTTGGAACCTTATAGCCTTCAAACTAACGACCATTCGAAGAGTTCGGTGGACCTGCCTTTGTACAGCAAATTCAGCAAAAGAAGGGCTGTTCGGTCAAAACCATGAAGTCAACGGTGGGCCAGGACACCTAGGGCTAAGACCAAAAAAATGGGTGTGGCAAATGGTTTTTTTTGTGGGGACAAAGGCCAGTTCTTTTCGAGGGAAAACCAAAACAATCTTTGCTTTGGGCCTCCACTTCGGCCTATGGGCCTCATGGCGACTGCATGGCCATTAGAGAAGAAAGTTTGGGTCACCTGCGTGGCCATGGCCTAAAACCAGTTCCACAAAGTGGTGGCCTCGTTGTTCTTTGGTTTGGGCCTCCACTTCGGTACATTACCATTGCAGGTAAACTCATGCGGATGGCCCAACCAACCTGTTCCACAAAACTGATGGCCTCCGATCCTTCTTTTTACAGAGGCTTGACCCATCGCGTCCCCGCGCTTGAAGTGTGCATTGCATCACGTCACTCTCTTGCGGCCTCGAAGTAGTGAATGGCTGGCAGGTGTTCCGCCAGATACCCTGCGACCAAAGTTTGATCACAAAGACCCACATCGCTGGACTTCCTGAGGGTCGAACGGGTCGACCCGTTTGATCGGATGGGAAGGAGGGATGCGGGAGGTTTTTATTTGAGAAAAACAACCGAACGGAACCATGGCAGTTACCATAAGGATCATAAGGATCTATCCCCAGTTCCACATGCGAAGATGGCCCTTTGAAGTCTTCTATGGTCACTGCAGTGATGAACAATGAACACCGGGAGGCCGTGGAGCCCTTTGGGAGTCATAGAGGGTTCACTGCCAAATGCCCAATACCGAACTTGGTTGTATTTTTTCCGAGCGGTATTATCCTCTTTTGATCAACCAACCAAGGCCGTAGGTCAGGCCTTCTATGAACTACACTTTTTACTTTGCATTATGCTATGGTTGAAGCCAGTAGCAGCAACATGCACCGAATTAGCACAAGACTTTGTGGAATACAGGCCCTCGCTCAGCTGAAGCGTCAGTCGAAGTTCGAGCCATCTGGTTCCAAGCAAACACTTCCACTTCAAAATGGATGCGGGCCTGGACAAGCCTACACCCTAGGAAAGTTCAAAAGGTGGCCTTGTGCACCCACAAGCTGCTCATGATCCTCTTGCCAAGTAGCACGCACCAGAAGAGCGAGAACAGCTTCTCTGCAAGGTGCAGCCAAAACGGACAGCCCAAAGCAGCACCGCCAATTCGGGAAAACTGCAGGCCATACAACCATACAACATCCATTCCTTCAGCATTGCTTTGCGTACGTGCCTTAAGCCTTAAGCTCAAGAATCAGCAAATTGGCACTTGAAAACTATCAGGGGCAAAACGCTAGAAGCTGCTAGCGCGCACCTGCTGTCTTCCACGGCCAGGCAACGCAAACCTACAAACACTTTCAGCATCTTTCTGGTATCCCAAGAAGACTAAACACCCGGTGCTCAAAAAGAACCACTCACTTTTTCTAGCCAACTCACGGCTCCCTTTCTTGTAGCCAAGTTTTCGCTTGTCATTTCCACTCCCTTGCAGCATCCGAAGTAGATTCAATCCAGGCACGCAGTGCTGCACAACATGTAAACCGTGAGTCTAGCAAGGATACAAGAACAGCCATGGGCCATTGCCATTGCTGCAACCTGGTGCCTGGTGCAAAGTAACCATTGCACGCACATTTGCAAGAAACTTTGTCTGGTGATGGTTTGCAATCCGAACGAACGCTAAGTAAGGTGGTCGTTGTGGGCATCTCTGCATCGTCAAAACCCATTGCAAACACTCCAAGGGCGTACCACTTTGGCACTGGGGCTGCCAAGCGCTAGAAATTCAAGCATACTTGAGCTCTTGAACAAAATAGGCTGGCATCTCCTCCAGTGGAGTCGTCCACAGGATCATAGGGTCACCGGGCATTTCTGCCTCTGGGCCTCGTCATCGCCGTCTCGGACCACGTAGTCTTCCCACCATGGCAGCGTCGTTGCGCACGATGTCGTGCGACCGCGGCTCTTTCAACATAGAATCTGTGACTCTCATCGTTTGGCAGCACCCATACAAGTTACTCCAGGTACTTTTTGATGTCTCCGCGCCCTTAGAAGTTGTGAGAACGTCCGCCCAGATGGCCCGATCTGTGTGAAGATGTGGGACAGGTGGACAGGAGCATCGGCTGAACTTCTCCACACTATTGGTCCTTTTGGAAGAATAGAGGGATTGAATGGGATTGATTTGGCACCATACCATCATATACCATCTCTTGATATCTCTTGGTTGTTCGGGGGGGTAGTCGGGGGGGTAGCCTCCCCCTCTAAGAAATCGCCCAACGCGTCCTAAAAGACCAGCTCTTGGCCAGCCATGCTTCTCCAGCTCCAAGAATCCGAGTATTGTAACGCAGCAGCTCCTCCTCGCCGGCTTCGGTCAAGAGTTTCACCAAGCCTCAGCGGCGAGGCAGAGATGCTCTAACAGGCTAAACAGGCTAAACAAGAAAAACCTCGGAGCACGGGTTGCGCAACATCCTGAAGCCTCATGTTTCTTCACCAACCACATACTACCACCAGTCTTGTTCAGTGCCTGAAACCATCCAACCCGTTTACCCACAACCCGTCTTCATCCGTCCTTCACTCTCACAACGTGTCTGATTCACTCTCTCTCTCTCTCCGTATTCGCACCTGCATGGATCTGTCGGTCAGGCTTCAGCACCACGACCCCATAGTTGAAGGCATCGTTGAGGTCCTCGCCGCCGCGGCGCGCTCCGGATCGCCGCGCGGAACGCGGCGCGGCGCGGCGCCGCGGTGCGCCGGTGCGCATCGGGGAAGTGGAGAAAGGCCGAGGGAGACAGCCTTCAGCACATATGGCCCAATGGATTGACTGGACTATTTCACTTCTTCCACGGGGGTCGAAGGGTGAAGGTCGAGCTATGCAATTTGGTGGGTTACAGCCCGCTCAAACTGAAGTTGCCAAAACAGGGATATTTGATGATATTGGATATGCAGGTGGAGATATATCAAACATTTGGTTAAAAGACTTCCGCAAGAGACGTGGTCTTGACAGTGACGTGTTCATGATCTGAGCTATAAACATAGCTAATGAACTATGAGATTTCCAATGATGCCCTCAGCTTCCCTGAACAATAAAGGTTAACCACACTTTCCACCTCTTCTCGTGAAAGGAATGTGAAAGGCGCGCAGGAACACCCAATCCCGACCAGGCCAGGCTATCTATCCACTTTTTCACTCCTGCACTCCTGGGTAGGAAGACCGAAATCATGATCTAAGGGGTCTCCAACGGATTACCCTTCACTATGGAATCTCCGTTGGACACCAACAGGATGGTCCAGGTAGGATTGGACTCGCTTGGAAGATCACGTCACTGAGGGATCACTGGGGATCTGCTCTCGCCTTTCAGCTTTCCTCGCCTCGCCAAGCGAAGCTTGGCCCAGGTGGAAGCCGCACGTGCAACCGGCATGCAAAGCCGCAACATCGACCACTAGCATGCAATCGGTTATTCTTGAAGTAGGGCATCTACCAATTCAAGCAGGACATCTAATGTCCCCGTGCGACTTGTGGCAAATTCGACCAATTTGGTTTCCTTGGATTTGCTTTCCATGCTCTGCGCAGCTGAGTTCACATGTGTCATCCAGCAGGTCGCAAGACACATAAGGCACTCAATGGGTCTACACATGCCTACACCAACATACGTGAACCTTGGACCATCTTGGACTCACAGACCGGGCACACAGATTCCCAGAACCCATGCCAGAAGGTCCTATTGTACAATATAGTTCCTGGTCCTCCCCATTTTCGGACCACTTCTCTCTCCAGTCTCGCACTCCTTCCCTGCACTTAAGGCTTCCAGTCGTAGCAGCGGCACCAGGGGCCGCTTCGCCAAAACGTCGCCATCCAAAAGCACCACCGTCCTCAGCGCGGAGGTCGTTTTCGACATCGATCCTCCCAGCTGAGAATGAGTCACCGCCCGCCTCGCCGGGGGAATTCGGTGCCTTTCCGACGTCTTAGGATCCAATATATATATATTATAAGAATGATTTCCTGTCGAATTGGGCGAGGACGGCCTATTAGAATGGCATCTTTTTGGGTGAACATTGCAAAGATCGAACTGGACACCTCAAACTGCACCAAGCAGCTCGTAGCCCAGATCAGGATTCCAGGCATGCACCTCGCATGGTCGAGAACCCATTTTGAACATCCTGTCGAAAGGTCGTTTCTCTTGAAGATTCGCCTTTGCAAATGACTTGAAATCAAATGTGTTTGTTTTTTGTTTAATGTATGTACCGTTCTTGCACCGAAATGACAAGAAAACAAGAATCTCCGAACAATCACATAGAACAATAACTGCTGTATGACAACTCCACTGGCGTCGAGTGCCAAGCTGGGAATTGAGGTCACCCTGCAGCTAGTTGGGTGGGAATGACTGAGTGGCTCGCCTTATATGAGCTGCAGTCTCTGTATACTTTACATTGTATTTTGCATCCGTTTACCATCATGAACATCCCTATTCGTCCACACTTTCAATCTCCATGATCCGCCTTCCTTAAACCGTCCAAACGAGGTCAATTCATCCATTCCCAAAGAGTCTTCCTCATTGAAGGTTTCAAAACTGAAGTGAAGTGCAAGTCACCGACTCGCGGCCTTTTTCACCGTCCAACCAGCCGACCACCCACTTGGGTAATCACCCATTTGCTTGAACAAAAAACATGGCAACCCATGCCTTAGCAAAAGCGCCTCCATAGGGCATGGGCTGCAGGACTTCCAAGACGCCTTGCCTAACGTCGGCATGGATGCTGAAGCAATCTGCAGCGCAACACAGGTGTCGGGAAATACTAACCCATCAATGTAGGGGTCTTACCAATCCTCAAGTGCGTGCTGGGCCAAGACTCTACTTATATACAGGGGAGCTGAAAGCTCTCCATTTGCCAGCTGGTTTTTGTGGGCGGTTTTTCCTCACGATGGGCGATTGGGGACGGTTTGGCAAATATCAAAAGATGATGCACTGGCACAAAAAAGTGATCCAGGAGAGGCATGTAGATTTCAAGTGAACAAAATATTGAAAGGACGATATCAAAATAATCATTCTTAACATTTCTTAATTTTTTTCGTGACAAAACATATCTTACTGTTAATGCTTACTATAGTTGTCGCTGCTTCTTCTACTGATTTTGCTTGTTTTGGGACAAGCAAACAAAACTCGCACTGTCTTTTGTATTTCTTATAAAGTTAATAGCTATAGGGATTCATAGGAGCCATGTTGTATATAACAAAAATTATCAAACATATTTTGTACCTATTTTTGTCTTGCATCTGTAAATGTTATATATTCTATTAATCACAAATCAAGTCAACGCATGATAAGGCAAAAACATGCATGAAGTAAGGAAAGAAAAACAGCGTCAATGAGACAGCGTCAACGACAAGGCGGTCAAGGAACAACATGTCAAGTCATCTAAAGGACGTAAAGTCAGCTGGCGTGACAGCGGGGGGGCTGATTTTGAACGACCCTCCTACACGTACGGAGTACGGAGCCATGCAAACAAATCGATCTATCTATCTATGTATATATATATATAAATAAGGGGTGCTTTTTTGTAAGTGTCACGCTTCAATGGCCGGGCCTGCCATGCAAGGTCACGCCACATGACTCCTTTGGTCTGACATTGCTCGAAGCCAAGAGTCCCAACTCTTCATCCTTCTTGCATCAGCTGCTCTGTAAAGCTGCCCCTGGCATCCTTCATCTCAGCAATCTGCTCTCCTGCTCTCCTGCGCTCCTTCGCTCTCTCTCTCTCTCTCTGTCTCTCTCAGTCAGCCTTCAGTACAAGAAACATGCGTCGCATTGAGCAGAGAGTGGTCGGACAATTCGGTCCGCACAACCTCTACAGCGAGTTTTGACCAGCAACATCCAGCAACGCATTCTGTTGGTGCACCTGTCCACCATGTTGTCATGGACGCCCTTGAACTTTTTTGACTAAGTTGGGTCTAAAATGCACTGAGGGCTCCCTTTCATCAGGATTCCAATTCAACTGCAGCGCACATGTGTCCGCTGCATTCGTCTGCAACTCCAGGATGATCTTGTTTCTGTTCATTCTTGATTGCCCAGACCTTGTGAACCTGGACGTTGGATCTTTCTTTGGATAAACATGTTGTCTCCCACCTCAGACTTCATGGGACAAGAGTCTTCGTACGAGGCCTCTGTTTCAGGAGAGCCATTTCTTGTCCGGAATTTCCTCTTCTTCCAACCTTTCGTTCTCGAATCTAGGACTAGAGACACAGAAGTCATGAACCCTATGGATCCACTGCCACCTTCTCAGAAGTCAATTGGACCCTCCTGGCGCCTACATAAATAGTCTCGAATCACCTTCTCAGAAGGTATGTGGATCCATAGGAAAAGAGTGATGCTTCCTTTTCGTTGCCTCTCCACATTGAAAAAACAAGGCTTTCGTGACTTTCATGTAGACCACGAGCTTCACCTCATCTGTTCTTGTCGCGGCATGGAACTGATGTGAACCGCAGAGGTCCACCTCTTCACCCACAGGAGCTCTTGGTCAAGCAATGCCCGTACCCTTGGTAGCCTTGGTATTTGCCATTTCTCTTTCCCCTTGCATCTGAATATGCGTTCCTGGTGCTTGAAAGACGTCCTTGAACAGCAGAATGCCGCGAAGGCTCTCTCTCCCCCATAAACACCCAACAATTCGGACCAGGATTCTCCAGTCCCTCACGTGCCGCCCTCACCATCCCTCACCTCAACCGGACAGCGGCTCGGCCTATGAAGCTTGGAGCGTTCCGCCTCCATGGCTTCCAGTAAAGCAGGGCTGGGCACGACGTCCGGCACATCCAGCACCTGTTTCGGTTTGGCATGGGCGTCACGTTGGGCTGTCCGTTCGGGGTGGTTCGGGGTGGTCAAAGCATGTACAACCATGTACGACCTGTTCTTATCTGTTTTTTGGGGTTTCGTTTTCGGGATGTTTTGAGGGTTTTGGTGCTCCAAACATGCTGAAACACATCTGATGACTCTGTTTCTCAGGGGGGCCTTGCTGTTCCCTTCATAATCTTGTTGATCCAAATGTTGGTTGCCACCGCCAGCACATGCTTGTGGCCGACACCCACATCAACACAGAGTCATATGGTCTGGGGTGCACCACATACGTCTCAAGTGAAGAAACCTTGCTGGCTGGAGGTGGTGGGTCCCGGTCGCATCTCCCAACAGGCCAACAGGGTCGGTTGGGTGACACGGGTGGTGACGTGTTGCTGCTGGAAGAGCATTGCCTGGAGGAAATGGGGTGATACCTTGTGGTTCTACCAGATCTCTTTGATGCCCGTCCGCCACATTCATTGGTGACAAAACCGTCCTTAAAGCGAACGTCCCCAAACAAGCCACATTCGATGGAGCCCAACATGGAGCCCATGCACACAGAAAGCACCCTGAAAAACGAGCAACGGTTGTTTCGCACTCTTGACGTCTCACTTTTCGGAGAAGCTCCTCTTTAGGACATTCTGTGGTGACACTCTTCTAGGACACTCTTGTAGGACACTCTATAGTAAGCCTCTTGTGGAACACTCTTGCGGGCGCACTCTTGCGGGACACTCTTGTAATCTCTTGTAGGACACTCTTGTAGATCACTCCAGTGGGACACTCCTGTGGGACGCTCTTGTAGGACCCTGTTCACTTTTCTGGAATATTTCGCAAATGTCTTCCAGTAGAACGTTAGGACCAAGCATTCCATGAGGCAGCTCCTTGAATGTCCATGAGTTTTCAGCAACAGCAGCGGTCGCGCCGACTCCTTTGCCTTGCCTTTTGAGGAAGAGGACGGGATGGTTGCCTATCCCGTCAATGGCATTCAAGGCTGATTGAATCTCAGCGCGAGCATTGTCCACTCGATCCTGTGAACCAGGGGAGGTGGTAAATGAGTCACGGATGTATCGCTCCAGTATATGGCTTCTTGGAGATGTCGCATGCTTTCAGGCTGAGTCTTCAGCCCCCCCTTTCAAAACTATGATGTCAGTAACGGTCAAGCTTGTTGAACTTGACCTGACCTTCTTCTGGTCGCCGAAACCCGGGATGCCGCCACTCCGCTTCTTCTTCACGCCGAATCGATCGGCCAAAATCTGTTTGATGCGCAAGTCACATTCCAGTGTGGGCATTTCGTTTCCTTATTATTCGTCCTGAAATAGATCATCGAACAGGTCACACAGATATCCCCCCCAAACAAGGCTACTCTGACCCAGTTTGTCAAAGCCTTGTGAAGACAAAATACCCCAGTCTCGGTGTGAAAAACAACACACACCAAAGGCGTTGCGGCTTTGACATGAATTCCCCTTGTCTTGCCCTGTCTTTGCAGCCTCCGACTCCACCCATCCACCAGAACCGCATCCCTGAACGCCATGCCTGGATGCCCAGCGCCTCAAAGCGTTGGCGCCAAACCTTGCTCACCCGGCCGCTGCTTGGCACCAACAACACGCGCTCGAGCTGGGCACTGCCTGGACACGGCCGCTGCCGTTGGAGTGGTAGGAGCTTGAGATCACCTGGGTGGTGGTTGGTACTAGTGGCAGTAGTAGCACTAGCACCAGCAGCAGGAGCAGTTCGTACTAAGTGGAGTGGCGTTTTCTGCGCTGAACTGTAGTAAAGACGGCTTTTTCAGTAAAATGGCGGTCTGGCTAGGGCGAATGACCTTCCGGCATTAGCCCCCGTTTGTTCCAACGACGTTTTTTCCAAAAGGGGGGTGCTGAACCGGAGCCTTCTCGGTCTGAAAGCAGATTGGAATGGGCTTTGATTGGCTTTGATTGGGGTGAACACGCTTGCGCAGGTGACCGCAGGTGTCAGAAGTCCCTTCGCCTCTGGCATCGACCCACCAGGTCACCTGCCCATGATCAAACCACCTCCTCCGTCCAACCACTCCGAGCGGAGGCTCAGGGCCTGCATGAATCCCCACGGAATGCAAGGTCACCAGAGCACCTTTCGCCTCAGGTCAAACACCGGCGAGTGGGGCGCTGTGATGCACACGCGCCCGCTGGAGACCCGGAGGGACACAGAACAGGACTTGGCCGGCCAAATGGTCGTCGTTTTGGGGGAGAATTCAACGAAGAAAGGGGTCCAAGTAGTCGATTCTGTTCGTTTGGTCAAGCAAGATCCCTGGCTCGCCGACGTTGGCAAACTCCCGAAGGCCTTTGGGGAACGACCATTTTCAAAAAGGGACAGACCTGGCTTTGTAGTGCCAAATCCGTGGTAAAACCAATGGTGCTTCGGGATTCAAGCTATTCAATCAAGGGTAGGAAGCCTAGGATAGCCTGGGCCTTGAGAACATGGACCTTGTCGCAATCCTTTCGATTTCCATAGTTATGGTGCTTCATGGCTTACAGATTTTCTAATAAAGGGTTCAACCTGTAAGGGCTGTTCAAGTCGAAATGGATACCAAAGCAGGTATAGAATCGAATGCTTTGAACCTATAGCAATCTGTGAATCTGAAAGGTTGTGGAAGGTGCAATGAGGGTGTGCCTCTTCCCTCCTCCATGTCCAATATTGCTCCAGCCGCGCTGCGTAGTAGTCATTTGTCGCGAGGCTTATAAAGGCCTTCTTCGAAGAGCTTGAGCCTGACGAAGCACAGGTGCCCAAAGTGGACAGGTCACTGAGCCGGTTGGCATGAAGATCAATGTTGATTCAAAAGGCTACAGTAAATATTCAATCAATCATCTCTACGTGAGTCCGAGCTAGATGTGGGGTATGTTTTCAATTGGTCCTTGGACATGTTCTACCACTTTTTGCAGGCCTTCTTGGCTGACAGTTGCCTCACTGGAAGGAATCATGTTGGTGTGAACATTCAGCAAAGCTCTACCAATGCACTTTCTACCTCGGGTGCTCGCCTATCAGGAGAACGCACGTCGTCAGCAACCATCGCCAAGTGCGCATTCGCTGGATGGAGAAGACTCCAACCCATGCCAAGTGCCAAAGAGTTCTTCTCCATCTTTGTAAGATCAACGCCCACAAACCATTGGTGAATTCTTTTGCACTCACAAACCGAAAGGATTCAAACCCTCACTCAGAAAGGAATGGTGGAATCCTGACCATATTGACACGCAAACTCTTGAAGTAGGACACTGATCTTCCAGCAACTCATGCTTGGTTCCATGTCAGTGAGTTGGAGTGTGGACAACATACTTCAATGCTCCACAGGCTCAGGTGACTCAGGTGAGGTCTAGTTGTCCCCCCCTGCACGCTATGCCCGTCCATGCATTCAACTTGCCCAGCGACTGAGCCTTTGAACATTATCAGCCAAAACAGGGTGTAGACTGAGCCTCGAAACAGTCTCTACTGGTAACAACTGCGACTCGTCATCTTGCCTCAGTTGGGGCCCTGGTCATCTCGCCGATATCCAATGGAACACCTTTCGATTTCCTCTGCGTCAGGACATGTCAGGACCACTTTTTGGAATCTTGTGGTCCATCATTTTTTGGGTGCATGTCTTATGTTTTAAGTTGGATTCCGAGGTCAGGGTCATGGACCATTCTTCCATCAACCTCATCCTACACGTCGCGTCTTGCTGTGACCACACGCCTCACTGGGGCGCCGCTATCTCACGCTCTATCATGGTGTACCCATCATGGTGGCCCCGTTTTCTCGAAACAAGAACTGTCGCACCTGTCCCAACTCTAGTAGGGTCCATCTTACAGTGGAGAGCCGGAGGTGGGGAGGTGCGGGTGCGGTCTTCTCCCGTCCATCGAGCGGCCGAGCCTCTTTTTCCACGAGGGACGGGCGGTGCTGTGCTGTGAAACCACAGGAGGGCGGCTCGAGGTTTCAAGCCGTCTTAAGAGGGACTGAGAGTTTCTTGCCTGTTTTGCTAAGGGTTTGACCTTTAGGGATATTGTAGCAACTAATTCCGTTTTGAACCAAAGGGACTGTTCGGGTCTAAGAGTATACCAAAGGACGGTACAGGTTTGTACAGATTCGACTGACCGCCAATGACCGCTTCAAACTCCATCCAATATGATAAACATTTGATCCATAGATTCGGTGGTCACCTATAAACATGTTGTATCCTCTGGCAGATGTGTATGATAGCCATCCTCAACGGTGGACTTGCTGTCTAGAAAGCGGAGAACACCGTTTTCAAGCATCTTCCCCATGCCAGTGGGTGGACTCATAGAGAAAAGACGGTCCGATCCACAAAACCCTGGTCGTGACTTCTGAAACAAAAAGAAGCCTCTGCATCCATCCCCCCGAACCAGGTGACCTACAGCGACTGCGACCATCATGACATGCAAGTCTCTTGAGGTCTTTCACGCATTTTGACTCGACTGCGACCAGTCTGCCAAGTAGGACGGTGGTGTCCCTAGTTGTGTTTTTTCCAGGTCTCTCAGTCTGAGCAACATTGGAACTCAACTTGAGTACGGAAAATAACTGGCCGAACGATGGAAGCACATGATCTAGTGTCTGCGCCAGCCTGATGGTCTACATTTTTGTATACATCATTGTTGTGGATTTCAGGTGAAAGTTGCTGCATTTTCTAAGAGGTCTTTCACCTTCAAACTCAGCTGGGTTTAGGTTCCTCTCCCAACAGCCTCCCAAGGATTTCAAGAGTGGACACACACACACACACACTTCCATTTACCATAGATTTGACTCTTCTGGATGCCCTATATAAATCTTGGAAAGGAATGCCCCAGTTGTGTGTTTCTACTGTCCTGGAAGGGTCTTAACTCGTTGTTCTTCGTATCTGTGAGTGTCCGGAAGACTCTGGCCACAAGTCACCGCAAGAAGAAGCCAAAAAGAAGAAACCACCCCACACCACAACAAAACATAATGAAAAACCGGGTACCTGGTCCCGTCACAATATCATTGACACCACAACTCCTGTGCCCGTGCCCGAAGCCCCCCCAGTCAAAGATTTAGGTGTGGGACATGTTCACCAAATCAACGATTCCCCTCAAGAAGATAGGTTGGTTATATGGGCGTATTTAAATAGGGAGACTTCCCAAAGACACCCTGGAATACACGCCCATATATACAAGTGTGTGGAGCTCTTGTCCCAATATCAATCCCACAATCCTAAAAAAGAATTGCTCTGAAGAAATAAACCAAAACCTCTCTTCCCAGTGACCTCCAAAAAGGCCTCCAACCATCAGATTACCATCTCTTCTATGTTCCAATCTGTCTCAACATGTCAATTTTTGCTTCCTTCAATCGCCTCGCTGCCCTTCACCGCGAACCTGAAGTCCTCCTGCTCTCCTGGAAAAAACGCAGACAACTTCGGCGTTGGAAATCCAATTCCAACACCAATCCACCCTTTTAAATGATGTGATGTTGAAAGGGCTATTTTGCCAGTGCCATCGTAGTGTGTTGGAGCAGACCTTGCTCCGGAAAGGTTTCTTGGGAAGGACTCATGGATCAAAAACAACTGTCACGCAGGTTGGCCCAAAATGCAACCTCTTGTGTACAAAGTTCAATTTGTAATATGTTCCTGTGTTTAAAACACATGGTTTTGTTCCATCTACTCTGATCCACTGCAAGTTGTACATTACTTTTATATACGTACATATTTCCACCAAGAATCTGTGATTTGCCATAGCAATAGCAAAGAATAAAACGAATTCTCCAGGTTCGGGGATTTACGCAGTTCGGGACAAGCAAACAATCAATGAAACAATCACCATGATCCGAAAGAACCAGAGAGCATGGCGAAACCCGAGGTGCCAAACCCACAAACCCATCCTCTCGGCGGACCATCTCGTGTCCAAACAAATCCTTTACTCCTTTGATCATCTTCGACGGAGCTCACCACTCTTCTCCGTTTCCGTTCTTGAGCGGAGTTCGCTATCTTTTTGAGCGTGCGTCGACCGGTGAAAAATTGAGGATCGGCGTGTGCCTTATATTCGCGCGGCCTTCCGGATGTCGCATGCGGTTAAGGGTTGAGCACTGTTTTGGAGCCTTCCGGGCTCAAATTCCTGCTTGTTTTGGGGGCAGGGCGATGTTCTTTTGTAACATGGTGTTTGACCAGTTCTGGTCGCGTTTCATTACCAGTGGTGGGAAGCACCGGTTGTGTGTTTCATGGCCCGTTTCGCCAGCTTGGTCAGTCTTTTGAGGGAGATCGATTTAGGGGTCCTGACATAACTCTTGACCATTCTCGAATGAGCCTGATGAGGTCGCGGTGGTGGTAGCCAAAGGCACACCATGACAGCCACTCCTAAATGGTTCCTCTGGCGCACCGGCCACCCCGTCTACTATACAATATAACCGCGCCCATGGGGCTCGTGATTCTTCCACTCATATGTCACAACCAGAACTACATAAAGCAATGCGAGAAGAAACAAGGAGAAGTACACAAGTCCTCACCGAGTTTGTAGCTGATGAGTCCCCCGCTTGATCCACATTTTGCACCATTCGGATTCACATACAGTAGGTGCAACACAAGAAACTTGCCATGGGCAGGGAAACAACCGAGTAAGCGCCCCAGACTGGCATATAGCCGCCTGATAGACGTCTCATTGGGAGTCTGGGGGAAGACAGGCATCATGGCCGTCACTCCCCCTGGGTGTCGCGGGCCTCGAATACACGCGTCCACACTTCACACATATGCTTTCACATACCTCCACTGTAAATTACTCCCCCTGTGTTCCCGTTTCATGTCGGACCTTGGTTGTGTCAAGCCGACCAAGTTCACCCTTTTCCAAGCAGCCACCAGTCAGCACAGGGATGACACCGTAGGACCCAAACACTGGAAACCAACCAAGCCACACACCAACCAACTCACCTCCAACAACGTACGGGTCGGTCAGTCACGTTGTCGTCTCCTCCACACCAGTGGCCAAGGGAAGAGTTGACCCTAAGGGAAAACTCAAGAGAGAGAGAGAGAGAAACCAGCCCGGTGAAAACCGGAGAAACGCCTGACCTGAAGGACCGGATTGGGTTCGCCCTTGTCAACCCAAGATACTGCTTACAGACAAGGTTGCCCCGCACCGCCCCCCCTGGAGGGCTGCACGCATTTGCATGTGATGCCAGAGACTTCACGCCATCATCGAGCTGATCAAGCCTCAAGCAAGCGGGCCACCTCTCGCAACATCAACTCAAGACAATCTTCTTTGGTCTTGAGCCGATGGCACATGCCTGGTCCATTTTTCTGAGCCACTCTTGGTCCAGCGTCAGCAAGACTGGTTGAAATTTTCATACCATCCAGCCAAAGGTCATTTCCTTCAGTATCTTGGAACGGCATGAACTGAATCAACCTTTCCACGATGCCTTGCATGTACTCTGAAGCATCTTTCCAACTCAGCTTGTCAGGAGTCTTTGTCAGATTTTTTGCTGTTCGGACATTGGATGCATTCAGCATCCCAAATCCTTGAGACCTTCGCAGAGCACATCCTTGACGCGTTCCACTCGTTGCACAGTACTCTCCAATTGTCCTGGACAACTCCTCAGCCTGTTTCTCCTGCAAATCTTTTTTGATCAAGTTGTATGGTCCAGCATTTTCATGAGCCAATATGAGCCGCCAGTACGCCGCACCATCCGGGGAAGAGTTCATCTGACGATTCAACATCTCATTCAACTTTTGCTGCTGATCTGACAATAACTTGAAGGCCACCTTTGGGAATGCTCCCGCTTCCACCATCGCCGCAATGGCTTCCGTTTCCAGTGCTCTGGCCACGGGTGGTATCTTCGGAGGAGCACGTCTCTTCCGCAGTAGGAAATGGATGCTTTCCCTTCCCGATGGTCCCTTCTTTGCCAGCTATCGCAAAGCTGAAGTCGCTTTGCCCAACGACCTCAAATCATTGGCAGTCCTTGCTTCATTATACGTTGCGATCAGTTCATTTAGAACAAGTTGTTCTGCTTGTTCTTGTTGGGCTAGACCTTTGTATCCTTGTGACTCAGCCACCACACCCATTTGAGCAATGAGCATCCTGGTATCCACTGTTCCCGTGTCTGCTTCACGATAGAACTCCATGGCTTGGGATGGCTCAGGTTCAGACGGGCTAGCTTCTGAACAGACACACTCACCTTTCGTTTGATCGGTGAGTACATGGTGCTCTTGAGCCTTGACACCTTCAGTCATCTGCCATGCAGAATTTAATTAGGCGACTTGTCCCTTCAAATATTTTTCAGACTCAAAGTTCCGAGTCCATCCAGCCAGTCTCGAATGAGCCTGCGTGAATGACCTGACCATGTATAGCTCGACATGCGTGTCATGGCACTCCACCTTGGCAAAGACCCCGAAAGAAATTGAACGCACCACCAAAGTGTCGACTAATCAAGACAGAAAAGGGGAGCTCTAGGTGGGCTCTAGGTGTTTCGACCGACATCAGCAGTGAAAAGAACAGTACAAATATTATACATATCATTACATAATTACGATACTATATCAAACAATACATACATTAAAAAAAAATATATATATATACCCAGAGCTTCCAACTACGTTGGTAACCCTAGGATCTGAGAAGAAACAACATTTACTCTAGGATTTCATAACTACGTTCGAAACTCAGTGACTACATAATGCAATCATCTCGATCACCTCTAAACTTAGTAGCAAAGTAAGTACGCTACTTACCCTGGTTAAACTTAGTATGCATTCGCGCAGGAGATTACTTTAGTAGTTGAAGATAAGGGTATATATATAATTAATATATGTATATATATATATATTGGAGGTTTTCACAACCGATACTTTGAGCGTGACGCTTGACGTTCGGTCGCAGCCTTTGGCCTCAGTGGCCCAGGTTTTTGTTGGGGGGCTGGCGCCATGGTGCGGTGGCGATGGCTGGCCCTCGGCCTTTGGTGGGCCACGGGCCCTAGCGATGGGTGGTGGCAGGCTCCAGGGGATGCTGAGCCCGTGCCACCCAACGCCACCTGCTGGGAGGAGCCCTTCCTGTGCCTTCAGCAGCGGGTGAACTCGACGGTGGCCGCTGCCCAGGCGCGGTATGCCACGTGGACGACTTGGGACAGCCTGGCATGGACCATCCTGGACACGTTGCTGTCCGGGGCAGGCTGGATGGTCTTCGGGCAGAGCTGGGCCAGTGTCAGGACCGGCTGCTCTTTGCTTCTACGGATGGCCTTTTTGATGGTGATTTGCATCGTGCTCCACTACTTCCTCTCCTTGGCCTGGCCGCTGTGCTCCTTGGCCATCGGAACACTCCTGACGGTGGTGTGGGTGGTTCGGGCCTTGGTGCGATGCTGCGGGCGGGCCGCCTTTTACACCCAGCGGATGGCCGGGGGTGTACCCGAAGCAATGGGAGCGACCTTCATTGGCCCAGACACTGGAGAGATCCCGGAGACGGCTGACCTTCGTAAGATGAAAAAGGGAGCCAACGAGGATCGATGGGTCCTTTTGCGGAGGGATGGCTATGTGGTCATCATCAAGGTCACCGAGAATGCGGCGATCAAGTCCAGCGGCATCTACCTGAACTTCGACCCTGAGGCGACCAGACGAGATGCTCAGCTTCTGCTTGCCTTGAAGGGTTACGACCGGGTGCACCTATGCAGGCACGATACGTGTCCGGAGGAGGGTCAGCACTTCAAGAGCTACGCGTTGGCACGACAGCTCAATCCTGAACGTTTCCACCTCCTTTCAACCGCCTCGGGAGCTCAGAGGACCGGCATGAAGACGATGGGATGGCTCTTCTCCAAGGCCAGCAAGACGGCGAAGAGGCTTCAGGACTATGCGTCCGAATCGGAAAGGGAGGAAGCGGGCGGATGCTGCGCCCACTGGGTGAAGTGGGAAGGTGAGATGGGCAGATCCTGCCTCAGCGACCACCCATGCAGGAACCTCGGAGCCACGGAGGTTGAAATGCTGGAGGAGGATCGTGAGAACCTTCCCGCGGACCAACCGAACATCCTCTGCCCTGCTCACGCGGTCCGTTATCTGACATCAAGAGCGGTCATGAAGTGCTCCTACGGAGGCTGCCAGAAACTGGGAATGGTGACGAAACAGGGTCTACGTCTATGTGGGTTCCACCAGGAGCAGGCGTCGACATCCTCGCGGCGGTCCTCACGGTCGAGATCGAGGGTAAGGGACCCACCCCCGGGAGAAGGCGAAGGAGATGAACGGGGAGAAGGAGAAGGTGACGACCGGGTGAAGCGCCGTGGGAGAGGACGCGAGGTCTCCTATCAGGTGGATGAGGCTGAATCTTTCCTTCGGGAAGTGCGAGAAGAGAGAGGAAGAAACTCCGGCACTCCGTAGAAGAAGAGTCTCATCGCCAGGGCACACGCCTAAGTCCTCGGTTCAACACAGTTTGGCACGAATGGGAATGATCAACTCCCCGGACCGTCGAGGCGACATGACCTACTTGGAGGAGTTCATGGAGCAAATGGTGGATGGGCGAGAGTTGCAGCTCAGTGAAGAGGACATCCGGAAACAGTTAGCGGCTCAAGCCGGGATGACGGTGGGCGAC